AAAGATAATGCCATATAAAATTATTTAACTGACACGTCATACTTAATTGACGGAGGGACCAAAACTGTGCAATTTTTAAAGTTGAGGGATAAAAAAATGTAAAAAATTGTTGAGTGATAAAAAATGTACATTTCTTAAAGTTGAGGGACTAAATTTAACATTTAACCTATATATTTTCATTGTCGCCCTTCTATGGCTCAGTCATGTTTGGGAGCTCGATTTTGATTAGAGTGTTTTTGAATTTGTAGTTTCAAATCTTATTGCATTATTTATTTTTATTTAAATATAATGTATTTAAAATTTATTTAAATATATGTATTTAAAATTTTATATTTTAAATTTAAAATTACATATATTTTAAATATATTTTTTAATTCATAAATTTTAATTTTAAATTTTTGTATTTCATCAAAATAATTAAAAAAAATTAAATTTAATAAAAAATTTAATTTTAAATAAGTTATATTTTAACATCTGATGCTCCGAATCAACTAACATGCTGTCAGCGATACATTTCTGGACAGGTTTTAAGCTCGTCCTTGACAAATTATTCAAAAAAATAAAAGTTACATGTTAATATATCTAAATAATGTATTTAAAATTTATATATTTTAAATACAAATATTTCAAATACAAACATCATATGTCCAAACGCAACCTCAAAGAAATCAACGAGAAGCCTCTCCGCGGCCCAATTGCAGAGAGTGATTCCCTCTGTTTCAGACAGCCAAGAAGCTTCTGACCCTCCCCTGCTGTGAGCGGTGGAGAGGAAAAGACGGAGCACCGGTGTGTGACAGCTGGTGGAGGGTGTCTGCAGCCAGAGGAAGGGAGAAATGGTGAACGGAGACCAAGATGGAGAAGAGTGCGATGGAACCTTGTTTTTTTTTCCTTTTTTTTTTACCAGAGGGAGAGTCTGGGTGAAGGATCTGTGCGACGGTTGAGTGTTCCCCCTTTGGTTGCGCCGTCGCTGAGAAGGTGATGTGGATGGCGGCGGGAGGAACCCGAATCGGAGGAGAAGAAGAGGATGGGCCCAAGGGAATGAGCGTGGGCTGGTGGCTGATCTTGGTTTTCGTTTAGAGGGTCAAGGAAAGGACAAGGAGTAATATTTTGGGCTGGATTTGACAAGATTTAAGCCCTAAGGTTAGGTTATAGGTTCAGGATTAGGGTTTATGGGTTTCAGATGTGGGCTTTAGGTATTGGGTCAAAGCCATAGGTTCAACTTCAAATTCCCTTCCTCACCTTCCAAGCCTTTTAATTTGGTTTCAAATTGTCGGCAAAAACTAATATTTAGTCTTTTATTTTATAAAATTGATAAATTTTAACCCTACACTTTATAATATGATACTTTTAGTTCTCTACCTTCCAAAAATAATAAGGTTTAACCCCTCATCTTACAAAATTTATAAGTTTTAACCCCTTACCTTATATTATGACACTTTTAGTCTTTTATCTGTACGAATTGAAGAAAATAGCCCTTATTTAACATCAGATTATAATATTTTATTAGTTTTGTTAGTTGACTGTTAGTTCTATTAGTTGATTGTTAACATCCGTTAGTATTTTGTTAATGGAACTAACAAATAAAATTGAATTTAAATTTCATATTTTTTATAACGGAATACTAACGGATGTTAACAGTCAACTAACAAAATTAACAGAACGTTATAATCTGATATTCAATGAGGGCTATTTTCTTTAATTTGTATCGATGAGGGGCTAAAAATATCATAATATAAGGTAAGGGATTAAAACCTACCAACTTTGTAAGGTGAGAGGTTAAAACTTATCAATTTTATAAAATAAAGGGTTAAAACTGTTATATTATAAAGTGAGGAGTTAAAACCTATCAATTTTATAAAGTGAGAGGTTAAATGTTAGTTTTTGCTCATATTGTCTCCCCCACCCAACAATCCCGGCCAATTCCCCCTTTTTTTCCCTTTGCAATTTATTTCCTCAGGTTTTAAAACATAAAAAAATATAAAGAATTAATTTTTTGACCATCTAAATATAAAGAATTAATTAAACACCTTCGATTAAAAACATTTTTCTCTTTTTTATTGCTCTTTTTTATATTTTGTTTTGTTTTTGACTTTTATATTTTTTGAATTAATCAACAATTTAAAATTTTATTTTTTATAAAAAATAAAAATAAAAACTAGGTGAAAAATCCTCTGCCTTTTTCATAAGTTAATTGCAGAAGTTGTCCCTAGCCTTCTATTCTATGTGGCTTTCAATTGGATCCTTATTGTCCTTTTTAAAAATAAAAAATAAAAAATATAATTATATTAATAATTAAAATAATTATATTGCAGATTCTACGAAAAGGCTTATGATGCTAACGTAAAGAGTTTTTCACAAAAAGACAATTAAGTATTGAAGGCCTCTAATAAATATCAGTACGTGGCCATGTGTTTCTGAACAAACTGCACATCAATGTAGTCCTTAGAGTGATATCTCTAAAATTCCTAAAATGGAAAACTAGGTAGCCCTTTTGGCCACTTTTGCACTCGTCCTCCTTGATTTGCCTTCTTTCCCCAAGACCCTCCCTTGCCCCAGACTTTCAATCCATCCCTGGAATCCAAGTACTAATCGCCAGCCATCTTGGATCAGTAGTCGTCCACAAGTTCTGCAATCAAACCCAAGTATTAGGGGACCCCCAAGCACTGTTTCATAGCGCACTAGATGTGCGAACAAGCTACAAGGGTGGGTGATTCCTAGATTAAACGTTGCCGCCATCAACCAAAGTCCACGCCTTGTGTATTGCCTAGCTATTACCCCGCAACCAAATCGAAGAAGGATCTTAGTGACTGGGAGTCTTGAATCAAGGATATATTTTGCTGCCTGTGTTGTTGCCGATGGAGATGAAAAAAAGAGTCGTCTCCTGACTAGAAGAGAGAAAACTTAAGTAAAAGCCTAATTTAACCCGGAATAGAAGACAGAAGCTATTACCTATATTTTTTCTTTTCCTAAAGTTAACCATTTTTATGGGGAAACTTTAAGCTACCCTCAATTAACTCAAGGAGAGTATTTGACGATGCAAAAAAAATATAAGGAAAAATAAATTTATTAATAATATGAAGTCTTAAAATTTAATTTTTTATTATTATTGAATTCTTTGTTAGCACATCTCTGCTGATGGCCCAGAAATATCCCTAAATATAGTTTTGAATGCATATCATTTTTAAGAGTTGAGAAAACCTAGAAGAAAATGAGTGGGTCTTATATAAAAATAAAATTTTTCTTGAAAAAAGAAATCCGGAAAATTACTCATGGTGTTGTTACCTAAAAATAAGGTGGCAACACCATACTTGAAATGCCTGTTACCGGCCTGATGCCCAAATCAAGTTCGGCACGGACTCTCGGTGCAATGGAGCAGAGGGTGTCTACACCCAGTCCGTGTCGGCAAATTGGGCTTTGCAATTTCCTTAATGGTAAAATATCAGATGTTGTCCCCAAACGTTTAGATTTTATGTGTTTTGATCCTCATAATTCAAATTGATTCAATATTGTCCCTAATTTTCAATTTTTTTCTTACAATTTTACCTTTAAAGTTTTAAAAGATCTACAATTAAACCCAAAACGTTTAATTTTATGCACTCTAGTCCACTTATACACAAATGATAGAAATTCTGTAAAATCAAATAAGACCACATTCAACTTGTTCAAATAATTATAAAAATTCCAATCATAATCAAGACTAAATTAATAAATTAAAATATAAAAATTCATCTCATTAATATTCGAAGTACACACTCATGTTTAGAATCGATGTGGTTGCCCTAACGTTGCTGCAAATGTGAAGTCAATTTCACCCAAGTTGGACATCAGCTGCTATCAAATTTACAATCATGACAACAGGTATAAATGAATTGAGTCTTAATAATATTATTCCCTCGGCCTCCCGATTATGCCACCATCAACCAAATGAAGTGTTGCAACTAGCTCAAGCTTGGCTAGCCCCATGACCGCATTGCTGCCTTCTTCAAACCTAAGCAAAACCCAATAAAAGAAAATATCTATTGAGAGAGCCTAGGCAAATACCAAAAAAGAGAGACAATAAAACTCTCACAAAAGAGAAAGAAACTCTCAAAAAACGAGACAAATTCTCACATTTATTCATTCTTCTTAACAGCTGAGGGGGAGAGAGGTGGGGGCTAGAAAAAGGAGAGAGAAACAAAGAAGAAGAGAGTATTCAGGAGAGAGAGGGAGAGGGAGGGGTGTCGGCTAGGTTTAGATTAAAAACAGTTTTAAAAGTAAATAATTATGTGTTTTATCTAAAAAGATGGCAAAAGAAAATATGGCACCATAAATGCTGCATCTCAAGGATAAAAGTCATGTACATGACAATTTTTTGGGTGATGAAAGTTTGGATATTGACATATGAGATTGCAAAAAACTATAACGTTATGTTAATTGAAAGGAAAATGATGTGTGCACATCCAGATTCAATACCAGGGTGTGCACATTCCGCATAAAAAAAAAATAGAGAACACTCGGTTTATTATTATTTTTTTTAATGTGGAGTGTGCACATCCGGGTGTTGAATCCGGGTCTGCACCAGTCATAATCCTAATTGAAAATGACAAGATTGATATGAAAAGATTTAAATCTCTTTAATGAATTAACATGTAATGGAAAACCATTTAGGATATTTGAATCATTTTATATAAAAATTTTAATATTTTAAAATTATCAAATTATCTTAATTTTTATTTTTCTCTTTCTCTTGTTTAGTTTGAGGAAAATAGATGATTCTTTTCTCATTTAGTTAGAATAAAATATAAAAGAAAATAAATAAA